CTTTTTTTCTTTCTTTCTTTCTTTCTTTCTTTCTTTCTTTCTTTCTTTCTTTCTTTCTTTCTTTCTTTCTTTCTTTCTTCTCTTTCCTTCCTTTCCCCTCTCCTCCCAACCTCCTCTCTCACTTCACTTACTAGTCTATGAGAAAAAATGTGCAAAAGATCTGGTCCTGATTTCTAGAGTCTTAGGGCCAGGCCCCCAGTTCTGTTCCTTGAAAGGAAACCAAATGAATTTACAAGCTTATTAAGCACACATAGAATTTAGCTTCTCACATATTCTACCCCATTTAGGGCCCCTGAGGGATACTGGGCTCTTCATTTTATTCTCTCAGCAACTCTTCTGATACCTCTTGACGGTGCCTCCTCCAGGAAACTCACCTCCCCTACCTCTTGGTCAGCAGAGAAATACTTACACCATTTGGCCTCTTATCTTTTCTTCCAAATCTCTAACGCCCCCACCATGGTCCTACTTTGTTTTTCATACCCTTTTGCTTCCTACTTTTAGAGTACCCTCCGTTCTGGTGCAGCTTCTCAGTTCTTCCACTCTAAAATACTCTTTTGTTATCTGTTGGGGAGTTGGTGCCTGGGGACTCTGTCAAGGAGAAGACAGGAATTAAAGAGGTAGGACTTTGCCAGGGATTTAGCTCAGTGGTGCTGCTCCTGTCTCGAAAGCGCAAGGTCCTGAGTTCGATCCTGAATACCAAAAAAAAAAAGGACTTCACAGTGATCTAACCCAACTGAGACATCTTGGGGGAGGACAATCACATCTCTCACACTTTCCTTTTTTTTTTGTTTTTTGGTTCCGGGGATTGAATTCAGGACGTTGTGTTTTCGAGGCAGGTGGCGGAACCACTGAGCTACATCCCCGGCCCTCTCACAATTTCTAAGTAAACTGTTCTGTAGATATTTCCTGTGTGATGTTTTGCTGAGTGTCCTCCGTTGTCATCTAGCCAGATGACCTCAGGAGGAGCAATTGAGTAGGAAAAGAAAAAAAGCCATTCTGCTCCACAGGTGAAGGTCAAAGCGAAGGATAAACTAGTATAGATTACGCACATACAAATAACCTTTATCAATGATATTTTTATCAAAATCATATGAGTATGCCTTATAGAAAAGGCTTTATTCATGGCATTTTCCCTAGAAAGCATTCCACAAACAAAGAAAAAACAAAACAAATAAAAACTATAACAAAGGAGAATACACTGGAGTCATTTCTGGAGGTTTCTAGAAAGAACTGTTCTGGGACTTGAGATCTTTTCAGCAGGCCTGGGCAGTGTGAAATGGTTATTCTCAAAGTATCTGAGCTGAGAGAGGTGAAAAATAGGTATAAGTCCAGTCGAAATACTTTATAATCTCCTGTGTGTCTATGCTATGTCCTTAGTTAATTCAGTTCCTAAACTAGTTCACTATATCCATATAAAAATATGTTGTACAAACATCAGTTCAGCATTTCTCTCATTCTAAATTCAATTATGAAAATTCACAAGAATTCAAACCAGGGTAAGAAACTAGAATTTAAGAATTGACTGAGTACTTGCTTTGCATAGGTTCCCCGTGTCTGACCAAACTCTAAAACAGAAAAAAAATGGTCATTAGAACAATACACACACAGATAAGCAAGGACTGGCTGTCCATTCCATTTGGGATCCTTAATTGGAAAAAGCTTACATTCTTATACACTGGTTTGTTAAAATAATGGAATGATCTACTTATTATTGTATTTATAAAATATCATTTTTTGGGACTCTGGATAGTTGGTAATTGTGTTTTGAACTCTCAGCTCAAAACATGTTATGATCTCAACTTTTTCTTCTCCTTGCAGTCTCAGATACTTACCAAGTTATCCTGAGCCAGTTTTGAAAGCTAATGATGGATTTGAATTGTTTTCTGAATCAAATTTTTATTCTCTATTTTCTCTTTTCTCTGTTTCTCTCTTCTCAGTGTCATCATATTTTAAATTTAGGGCCCTTTCCACACCCATTTGTTAAAACCACTTAGTAAGTCTATTTAGGTAAACTGCTACATATAAACACATCATAATTATGTGAAAACACTAGATGAAATATAAGCAACTAAGTAGCAACAATAACAATCCCCTTTAATTTTTTTCTTGTTGCTAGTCACATGAGAAAAGTTCTTTATTTTCATACTTCTCTTTATTAATTCACCCTGTGTGGGGGAACAATAGACCATAATGATGGTTGAGAATTCCATAAGCAGTTCAAAGGATATATTTATGAGGAAAAAGGAATGGCTTAATTTTTAAAAAGTCATATTTCACATAACTGTCAGTGACATCAATTTGTGCTTTCTTGAAAGAACCTAGAAGTCATCTTTACAAGCTTCTTAATTGGAGACAGTGAGAAATATGGGAAAGTTACCTTAGGATCCAATTAAGGAGAGCCTTACCTGGTTAAGGATCTTTTTCCCCCTAGAGACAAAATGGATTCACTAAAGTTTCTTTGAGCCCAGGAGAGATGAGAAAAGGGTAAATTAAGTTAATCTGGCATAATTATGCCCAATGAATTTGAATGGAGAAAGAAATGTGTGAAGATGAGTTAAGGAACAACTGTGGTAGTTCAAGGATGCCAAGGGAAGGGCCTGAACTCAGGTATTTGTAAGTACGGCCAGGAAGGAAGCCTGACCCAAGTCATTGCATGGGAAGAGTAAGTCAAGCTTGTTAACTTTTCTTTCTTTGTTTTTTTCTGGTACTGGGGATCAAACTCAGTACCTCACGCTTGGGAGGCAGGTGCTGTGCCACTGAGCTAAATCCCCGGCCCTGAACTTGCTAACTGAAGTTGAGGTGGGAACTGTTTAAAGGAGGGACCCAAAGTGACTCTCAGTTTCTATAGTATGATTGTTTGGGATGAAAATAGTGCCATTCATATTTGCAAGGAGCCAGCGTTGATTTTAGTTTTAAATGTGCTGAGTCCGAGGCTGTAATAAGACATTAATGTAGAGCTGTCTAGGATATGGTTGAGAATTTGAGGCTGAAATAGTGAAAACTTTGATAGAGAAATTTGAAACTTTTCCAGTACAGGTTGGAAATATAATTCTATTTTAATTTATTAAATCAACAAATACTGGCATGCCATAAGAATATATAGCTCTGAGGAAATGTATATATAGTGGGAGAAGAACAGAGAATTGGGGAATTTAACATTGGAACTTTGAGTACTTCTCAATTAGGAAGTCAAAAAAGGACAGAGAACCAATAAGAAAGAGTGAGAAGTGAGAAAGGTAAGTTATAGAAAGAGGAGAACCAAGATAGTGTAGACTAATAAGAAACAAGAAAGGAAGAAATTTCAGAAGGAAGTTAACACCCTTCTTCTTTGCAAACTGACTAGGCTTCACAAAATTCAGACCTGGTAGAAATAGTTTCTTTGAATGATAAACAAGATAAGATTGATTTCTAACAAGCAGTCAAAGAACTATCATTTCCTCTGACCTGAAGTTTTAATCTATAGTATTGGAAATGTGAATAATTTTAAGGAGTTACTTCATATCTTGATGATTCATATTCTCTCTCTAACAGAATATGATGCTATTTAGAATATTATTTGGTATATAGTGGGCTTGAACTTTGAATCACATTAACAAATGACTGCTTAGGAAACAAAATATTTCAGTTTATTAGATATAGAGATTTTATTCATGTAAATTCCATGTCTGCTTAGAAAAAAAAATGATCTAGAGGAATAAGACTAATGGAACTTAATAACTTCTTTGTTGATCATCAAACTAAATAGTAGCTATAAGCGAAGTAAATCTAATTTTCAGTATGTTCCCATTGGGTAAAATATATAGCTTACTTCCAGAAAACATCAATTTCACCTTTAAGTTTTAGCTATCTGTGGCTCAGCTGCAATGAAGTATGATCTTCTCACTTCTCCAAATGTCACTGAATTCTGCTCTCCTTATCTCCTGTCCTTAATGAAATCAGCTCCAGAGGATACTAAAGTAGTTTAAATGGAATTTTGGTAAATGGAGAAGGAAAACTCTGAGATAGCTTCTTACTTCCTTTTTTTTTAAGGCACATTAATTTTTCTTGGAATTTTATTACAGAAGCTGAAAAAGCAATCCACCAAGTTCAAGGCAGACAAAACCTATCCTACAGCTGTGGCTCAGAAGCCCAAGAATATAAAGAAAAACAGATATAAGGACATTTTGCCCTGTAAGTTCCATTTCTCCCTATAAATGTGTACCCCCTCTCAATTTCAAGCATTTCTGTCTTTCTACCCATTGCTTGTGTTCATAATCTTAGAACATGGCATTTATGTATGACTATAAAAGAGTAAAACACTTATTACACCCACTATTCACAGTGTTAGGCTCTGACAGCTCCCTCTATGAGCCTCCTTAATTACATGGTCTTTCTTTTTTATTATAGATGATCATAGCCGGGTAGAGCTGTCCCTGATAACTTCTGATGAGGATTCCAGCTACATCAATGCCAACTTCATTAAGGTACACCAAGGGGAAAGAAAAGTATTCCTATTTCTCTAGAAACTTTAGAAAAGGGAATGGGGCCGGGCATGGCCACACATGTTTGTAATCCCAGCACTCAGGAGGCTGAGGCAGGAGGATCACTGTGAGTTCCAGGGCATCCTGGGGTACATAGTGAGTTTAAAGACAGCCTGAACTACATAGCAAGACCCTATCTCAAGAAACAAACAAACAAACAAAACAAAACAAAGGGAATGGGGAGAAGATTAGGTGAGAAGAAGAGGGTATTTTCTGCAGTCACCTGATGTAATGTCTGTTCCTCTGCAGGGAGTGTATGCGCCCAAGGCATATATTGCCACACAAGGCCCTTTACCTACAACTCTCCTGGACTTCTGGAGGATGATTTGGGAACACAGTGTTCTGGTAAATGCAGAGTTGCATCTGTTACTTCTTTCTCTAGTTCTGAGGAGAAAGGGGGTAGAATGTCAGGAGGTGATGAGGTTTCCCCATCTACCAAATCCAGTGTTGTTTTTTAAAAATTGATCATTGGAAGGTCAGGGTTCAATCATTTTTTTTAAATTAAAATCATAATGTCATTTTTGTTCAAGGAAATGAAAGTTCACACCTTGACAGGCTCTTTGGGTAACATGACTTTACTGATTTGAGTAGAGAAAAGGGAAGTGGGGACAGAAAGGAGGAAGAATATAAGTTATCAAGATTTTTGGTTAAAAAGCAAAACCAAGCAATATACTTTCTGACCATGGTACCCATGTATTATCTCTTTGTAGCTTTAAAGATGTTTTAAGTTTCTATATATTTGATTCCCCCAGATCATTGTTATGGCATGTATGGAGTTTGAAATGGGAAAGGTGAGTCATTTTCTAGTGCCGGCTGATCTAAAGGTAAAGATGAAAATGGGAAAAATTGATAGCAGAACTTTCCTTAAGTGTGCTTAGGTTAAAAAAAACCCGTGCTATCTTCCTACTTTTCAGTTTGGGAATGCCACATGACAGGCTTTTTTCACCCCTAAGAGCCTGTTTTCCCAGGAGATCCCATGTTTTAAAGTAAATACAGGCTAGGTGTGGGGGTGCACACTGGTAATCCCAGCACTCAGTAGGCTGAGGCAGGATCTCTATAAATTCGAGGCCAGCCTCAGCTAAATAGTGAGTTCAAGGCCAGCCTGAATTACAGAGCAAGACCCTGTCTCAAAAAACCAAAAAACAAAAAGTGAAAATAATAAATAAATAAAATAAAGTAAAAACAAAGTATGCTTTTAAAAGTAACAATTCCCTTTCTTAATTCCATTAACCAGATATCTTTAGCTGCTACTCAGAGCTTCTAATCTTGGGGTGTCCAAAATGGCATCCATGTAGCTAATTAAGCACTTAAAATATGGCTAGTGTGATAGAGGGAGTCAATCACTTTATTTTAATTGATTTAAACTTAAAAACATATTTAATTCAGTTATTGGAAAATTTTCAGTTTGTTTGGAACCACTCGGGCATGTGAAACTTTTTCAAACGTAACTTGTATTTAAATCTACGTGAAAAGAAAATATTTTCAATGAAAATTTAGTATACTAATTGAAAGGACCTATCAATACAGACAGGATTTTGAAGATTAACTTTAAAAATAGGTTAAATATCTACTAGTGATTGTATATTGATTACATGTTGAGATTTTTAGACATATGGGCTAAGATATATTATTAAAATTAATTTTATCTTTTTTCATTTTTGATTGTGGCTATTAGAAAATTTAAAATTACATATGTGGCTGAAATATTTTTATTCTATATCACTGTTCTGAACTATCATCGCCATTCCGAGACTGCAATTTTGATCAAAACCAAGGAAAGCTGGTGTTTCATTTGGCTTGTACAGCTGCTTTAGTATATGTATACCTTCTTTTAGTTCTTTTTTGTTCTTGTTTTCTAATTTTGGTGGTGGTGGTGGGGGGTACCGGGGATCAAACTTGGGACCTTGAGCTTGCGAGGCAGGCGGTGGAACCACTGACCTAAATCCCCGGCCCTTGTTTTCTGTTTTTGTTTTTGAAACAGGGTCTCCCCATGTAGTTCAGTGTGGCCTTGAGCTTGAGGAATCCTCCTTCTTCAGCCTCCTGAGTGCTGGGATTACAGGCATGTCCCACCACACCCAGCTCTCTTTTAATTATTTTTTCTCTTTTAATTCTTTTGGAATACTAAAACATAGATTAAGACCCTATTGCTAATATTTTCGGACATCAAAAAGCCTGTAATGCTTATATTCTTTGATGTTTACTTTCCGTCCTTTGGACAGTCCCAGATTAGGGTGTTGGGGCTGAAGCCCAGGGGGGTTGGAAGTGCCAACCTATTCTTAGAAGAGGCGAGACTTTTTGAAGGGAAATCACTATATTCTGCTTTGTCCCTTTGGGTTTTTGTTTTGGTACCGGGGATCGAACTTGGGACCTTGCGCTTGCGAGGCAGGTGGTGGCACCACTGAACTAAACCTCTGGCCCTATATTCTGCTTTGTACAACAGAAAAAGTGTGAGCGCTACTGGGCTGAGCCAGGACAGATGCAGCTGCAGTTTGGTCCTTTCTCCATATCCTGTGTAAGTGAGATGTCTACTCCCATTAGGGCGGAGCAAAGCCTCCAGGATCTACTTTGTAGAGATCATCTTTTTGAAATTGCTAATATCTTAATCTTCTTCACAGGAAGCTGAAAAAAGGAAATCCGATTATATAATCAGGACTCTAAAAGCCAAGTTCCATAGTGTAAGTATAGAACAGGAATGATACACTCAAAACCCTCCTGAGATCAGGCAGGTAGAGAGATGCATATGACTCAGTTCTGGGCAAAAGTGTGGGAGAAGAGTGAGGAGTACGTCCTGAATACCTCTTCATATGAAAAAAGATCTCTGGTGTAATCTCTGCCTCCCAATCTGGGCAACACCATGGCATACATATAAAATGACAATATTCGTAGGGTGAAAAGAGGCTGAGCTGTGGATAGAGACTGGAAAGCAACTTGAGAGCTCAGGCTGCCCTAAACCCCATCGTTCCTAAAGACACAGGGATTTAGTATAGCAGCATCCCTGTGACCCATTTAAAACACAGTATTTGGGAAGATCTGGTTTGAACTATTTTCATATCTACCTCCTCTTGTGAAGAGGGTGGTTTGGGTTAGCCTCAAATCACTTTCTCATAAGGCACCTGGTCACCTGAGATCTATATAGAAGAAAAAAGAATAAATGTCCAAAAAAGGATATAGAATGGAACCCAATAAGTCTGCTGCTGCTGCTGCTGATTTTGTATTAGGGATTGAACTCAGGGCCTTTGCATTGAGCTATATCCTCAGCCGTTTTTATTTTTTATTTTGAGACAAGGTCTCACTAAGTTGCCTAGGCTGGGTTCAAACTTGTGATCACCCTGCCTCAGCTTCCCAGAGTGCTGGGACAGAGGCATGTACCACCAGGGCAGGCTCACACTAATTTTTAGTAGAATGAGTTAGAGTCCTGATTTCAAACTCTCCTCTCATTCTATTTTTCATAGGAAACTCGAACTATCTACCAGTTTCATTATAAGAATTGGCCAGACCATGATGTGCCTTCATCTATAGACCCTATTCTTGAGCTCATCTGGGACGTGCGTTGTTACCAGGAGGATGACAGTGTTCCCATATGCATTCACTGCAGGTAAGATGTCATGTATGAACCTTCTGCTTAGAACAAACCAAAGGTCTGGCCACACTCTGTAGTTGAAAGGGAAAGGTCAATAGCAGAACCAAACTATAATAAGTTCAACCTGAGCATTAAATTCATGTTTTCCTGATGTTACTTGTAAACAGTGTAGCTTTAGTGCCATTGCTGTGAGATGCTGCTGTGGACCTGTTCTAAGGTTCATTGTGGCATGACAAACATGCTCTGGAAAATGGTAGACTTTGAAAAGCTTTGTAGGTTCCAGGTTGCTTCCTCAAATCTGGTGTGAAATTTTCCAGCTACTGTCAATGATCTACTCTCTCTAAGTGTATATCTACTGTATTCTTTCATTTCAGTGCTGGCTGTGGAAGGACTGGGGTGATTTGTGCTATTGATTATACATGGATGTTGCTAAAAGATGGGGTGAGTTTCTCTCAGCAGGTTCTTCCTATTTGTTTACTCCATTGCTTTCAGACTGAAGAATAGTTTTGTTTTTTCCAAACATCTTCAAGATTCATCTTTTCTAGAAAATTTATTTGCAGACCTACTCTATCAGATAATTAAAATTGGTTCCTAGGTGAGTGGTTCTTACAGTGTGGTCCCAGAAGCTGGGGGTGTAGCTCAGTGGTAGAACACTTACCTACCTTGTGTGAGGTCCTGAGTTCAATCCCCAGCACTGCAAAGTGTGCCAGACAAGTAACATCAGCATTACCTAGGACTTGTTAGAAATACAAATTCTTGAACCGTACATCATGACTGATCCAGAAATTCTGTAGGTGCAGCCCAACGAGCTCTCCAGGTGATTCTGATGTATGCTAAAATTTGAGAGTCACGGTCCTAAATTACATATTTATTCTTCCTGTATCCAAACTGCTTTAGCAGATGGACTCAACTTCAATCGCATGTTGTATTCTTATCTATCTACCTATCTATCCATATCTCTATCTCTATCTCTGTATCTATATTATATTGTGATACTAGGGATTAATCCCAGGGCAATCATCTTTTTATTTTTTACTTTGAGACAGGGTCTTGCTCAGTTGCCCAGGCTAGGCTCAAATATGATCCTCCTGACTTAGTCTCCCAGAATGCTGGGATTGCAGGTGTGCACCACTACATCTGGCTTATAAATAATTTTCAATGTCTTTTAGGAAAATAGGAAGTTTAAAATATGGGCTTTGGGCTTATCTGTCAATTTCTTTTGTTTCACAAAACTTTCCTCCTTGTTGATCTACTGAGTCTTGCCTCTTATATCTTTAGTTTCAGATATTTGATGACCACCCTGTGAAATAATTCTAAAGACTTTCTTCAGCTTTTTCTAGGAAAAACACCAGTCTCTAAATCATGATACAAGTGATGAGAAACCACATTTGTTTTTACAATGCATTCTTCTTTTGTTGATATTCCACGTTAGGAGAGCAGATGTCACAGAAGTACAAGATTATGAGAAAATGACATGATTTATTAACAAAGGATAAAAAGGAATAAGATTTTTTCCCTTTTATTTGACAGATAATTCCTGAGAACTTCAGTGTTTTTAGTTTGATCCAGGAAATGCGAACACAGAGGCCTTCATTAGTTCAAACTCCGGTAAGGACTATGGTGAACAGGTCTGAACATATCTTTCAGTGACTTTGTTTTTTTTTTTTTTGGCACTGGGGATCAAACTCGGGTCCTTGTGCTTGCGAGGCAGGCAGTGGAACCACTGAGCTAAATCCCTGGTTCCTGAACATATCTTTGAGTCTTGCTCCATTTGTATAGTTACAAAAAAACAGCTGACTACTCAAATATAACAGCAATTTACTACTACATGTTTTAAAGCCCAACCCATTTCTCTAATTCCGAATATCCCAGTAGTTTTTGTGTATCCGTTGTCCTTGAGTTTGGGTCAAACTCTTTTCATTCCTTATATTTTATTCTCTGTTTAAAAAATGTTAAGAAATCAATATAGTATTTCTTATTTATAAAGGATGTTGAAAAAAATTCAAGAAACTTTGACTTATTAGAAAGAAATAATGTTAAGGGTCACATTAATGTGAAATTTTGTAATAATAAAGTCATCATTAAAGCCATAGAAAATCAGGAATTTATAATTTTTTTAAATTTTGGAGTATTTTTTATTCATGGTTTTTTTTAAAGTTATGAGATGGTTTAGCTGACTTGGATCTCACATGACACCTTTTTCCATCATCACTGCTTTCCTCTCCATCCGTGTAGTAATCATCCTCACCTTCTTTTGCAATTTTGGGAATTCTATTTGGAACAGGCAAGTGTATTTTATGCCTTGTTGTAGCATCATACAATTCTTTTGATCTTGAATTAGTCAATGATAAAGAACTTCTGGTTTCTATATCATTCTCTACAGGATGTTCGTCTAGAAGATTTTTCATGTTTCTTTCATTTCCTTTGTCAGTAAGATAATTTTCCTTTGTTTGTATTCCAAATGTCAAGTTCGTATTTTCTGTATCCTTAACTATTCTCTCTTTAGGGTCATCACTTTGCTTGTCAAAAACTAGGTTATTTTCACGTTTCTTTGCTTCTTCAAAGTCACTATCAAAAAAAGAATGGTCTACTTCACCGTCTGATATATTTCCAAATGGATCCATAATGATAAAAATGTGTCTGGGAGCTGGGGCGTTCGCGGGCCCAGTCGCTTGCACGGACGCGCAGGCGTGCTCCCAGGAATTTATAATTTTTATTTTAGGAGGTAGTAACAGAATCTGGCAAAAGTACTGTATATGCTCCTTTTAGGAAGCAATGATAATTAAATTTAAAAGCAATCACATTTCTATCATCCAGAGAAAGCCACTGTTACCATTTTTCTATAGTTTTTCCTGTTCTTTAGAAAACCATAATTACAACCATATTAATTATATATAATCACGATTTTCAAACCCATTCCAGATTGCCCACATTCATTCTATCAGGAATGGCCTTCCTTTCTCTTCCTGGCCCAAATCTCTCATTGTCCACAGCATTAATTTTACCCATATTTCTACATCAATATTTGTGCCCATATTTCTATGTGGTCTCCATCTTTAAGATGGAATTTAGCATTTACTAATTAAGTCATCAAAAATGTTTATTGATGTTTATGATCTATAAGGAGATTTTGCCTAGTTTCTTTAGAGCTATTTTTAAACAATGTAATGAACAGAACAGATCAGAACCTAGCATTTCCAGCGCTTATAAATGAACTTGTAAGTAGGTTTACAGATAAAACAATTGGTAGTGGCAGTTCAGTTATTTTAATTTAGAAGCTGTGAGTTAAAGGGAAAAAATGAAGAGCTATTACTATATAAACCTATCTGTTTGGCCCACACAGGTTTTCCACTAATAGTTTGTGGAAAAAAGTAATTTTTTAATGTGCTGACTGTAGGTGTTTTCTATATTCAGCCTGTGAGGGGGAAAGTTTATGTGAAGTGAAAGCATTAGTTGGTTTAGTACTATCAGACTTGAAAGAAGAATAATGATCCATGTAAATGCATAAAGACTCCAGGAAGTATGCAACCTAGTTAGATAAATTATAACACTAAACTAATAAAACCATACCACATTCAGAAAAATTCCATTTCAGACTTACTTTTTAAGTATGAAAGATGGCTTAAAAGGCCATCACATATTAAAATAATCAATGGGTGGCTGAACAAATATCTTAAGAGTTGTAGCTGCTTTATCTGACATTATTCTAACCATGAAATGGCACTGTAACCAGATGAGTGCTTCCTGATTCCTCTTTCAAAAAAAAAAATTAAAGCGTGTATCATGGTTGTGTTGGATAATACAGACTCTACGTGGCTTTCCTGCTAAAATCACTGTTAAAAGAAGTTGTTCTTTATTTGTACGGGATTGTGGAAAGTGTCAGAGAAAATACTTGAGCAGGTACAGAGGCAAAAACAGGGTAGTAAAAACCCATAACCTTACAATAGTAGGTCTCATTTCTCTACAGTAAATCTCTGTATAATCACAAATTTACAAATCTTATTCAGTGGTTTACTTTTCTATGGTCTCTTTACTAGGACAAAGTTTCAGCAACTTGATCTAAGTGCATGCACTAAACTAAAAGTTAGAAGATTCAGTGTCTATGCCAAGTCTCAGAAATTGCTTCTGAATGACCTTGGAAAAACTTCTTATAAATAGGCATAATAGCCTACCTATTTCATATAGTTAAAATATATATGTATATATATATATATACATATATATACTATTATGCAGCTTTTTTTAGGAAAGATGGTGTTAAAAATACATTTAGGGTGAAATAAACTTTAAAAAATGTGAACAAAGAAAATAAAATTAGAGAGAATGATGGAGGAAGGAAAGATAAATAAGAAAGTAGGGTTAGAACATAAAAGAAACATGTCATGAAATATTTGTACATTAGCTAGAATTATGCCGGGGATTTAGCTCAGTGGTGCCACTGCCTGCCTCACAAGCACAAAGCAAGGTCCCAAGTTCAATCCCCAGTACCAAAACAAAACAAACACAAAACATTAGCTAAAGTTATATGAAATATTTAATGATTTCTAGCAGCTTAAAAGTGCTTTGAGGGCTGGGGATTTAGCTCAGTGATGCCGCCCCCTGCCTCGCAAGTGCATGGTCCTGAGTTCAATCCCTGGTACAAAAAAAAAACGCCAAAAACAAAAACAAAAAAAGTTCTTTGAAATCTGGAATGGGCTATATAAACAAAAAGTTTAATAACTATGTTGATAGTCTTTTCAGGCCTGCTCTATTAGTATTTGATAGGATTCATAATCTCAAATCTTGTTCAGTAGTTCACCAAGTTTTTTGGTTTTCTTCATTTGTTCTGCTTTGTGATTTTCTTCAGGAACAATATGAACTGGTCTACAGTGCTGTATTAGAACTTTTTAAGAGACATATGGATGTTATTGGAGATAAACAGTCTGGAAGAAAGGTAAAGTTTAAACTAGATATTACATCATTTTTTTCATACTTGGTTTTGCTCAAAGGATCTCAAAGTAGTTGTAGGACATCTATTTTCACAACTAAATGTAGTGTCAGATGAGCATAAGACTGCACTAAAAATTAATTTGAGGTAATTTAACTTAGAAAAGTAATCTTTTGGTTAATGTATACAATTTTAAGCTAATTTTGGAAAGTTTATTCAGGGCAATCATATGTTCTGATCCCATGTTTTAGACAATTGTTTGCAAGTTAGAAGCAAGAATAACAAATATAAAGTAAAGTCATAGTTGAGTGGGTTTTTTTTAAGGTTACACTACCCTTATGTTGATTACTAATGTCTGATCAAAATCTTTAAGTTAAAAACATTATTAAATAAAAATTATATATATTTCTGGTGTACTTGATGTTTTAATGTATATACATTGTACAATGACTAATTCAAGCTGAAAAACATATTTATTACTTCACTTTATTTATTTGTTTGTTTGTTTGCTTGGTTTTGGGTTTTTATTTTTGAGGCAAGGTCTTGCTATGTAGTTCAGGCTGGTCTTGAACTCATTATGTAGCCGAGGTTGGCCTCAAACTCCTGGTGATCCTCCTGCCTCAGCCTCCCAAGTGTTGGGATTACAGGTGTGTGCCATCATGCCCGATTTATTGTTGGGAGGTTTTTGGTTACTGATTCAATCTCCTTACTAGTTAGGTCTTGTTAGAATTTCTATTTTTCCTTAGTCAGTTTTGGTAGATTCAGTGTTTCTAGGAATTTGTCCATTTCGTCTAAGTTATCTAATTTGTTGGCGAACAATTGTTCATAGTAGTCTCTCATAATTCTTTTTACATTTGTAAAAATTGGTAGTAATAGCCATATTTTCATCTCTGACCTTAGTAATTTGAGTCTGGGCTTTTTCTTAGTCAATCTAGCCAAAGATTTGCCAATTTTGTTGATCTTTTCAAAGAACAAACTTTTAGATTTATTGAGTTTCTGTAGTCTCTATTTCATTTATTTCTTCTCTAATCTTTCCTGCCTTCTGCTAGCTTTGGGTTTGATTTGATCTCCTTTTTCTACTTTCTTACAGTGGAAAGTTAAGCTATTGATTTTAGAACTTATATGCACTTGTAACTGTAAAATTTCTTCTTAGCAGTGTTTTCACTATTTCTCATGATTTGATTTTTTTTTTTTTAAGATAGGATCTTGCTATGTAGTTCAGGCTGGCACTGAACTCACTATGTAGCCCTGGCTGGCCTCAAACTTGTGGTGACCCTCTTGCCTCAGCCCCCAAGTGCTGGCATTACAGGTGTGCGCTACAATGCCCAGGATCGCTGTTTCTCATAAATTCTGTTTTGTTTTCATTTGTCTCGAGTATTTTCTAGTTTCCCTTGTGATTTCTTCTTTGACTCATTGCTTAAGAGCGTGTTGTGTAATTTCCACACACTTGTGAATTTTCAAGTTCTCCTTATGTTATTGATTTCTAGTTTTATCCCACTGTGATTGGGGAAGATACTTTATATATCTTTCAAAATTAATTATGAGTTGTTTTGTGGTCTAACATATAGCATACCATCTTGAAAAATGTTGCGTGTGTACTTGAGAAGTGTATTCTGCTGTTGTTGGGTATAGTGTTCTATGTGTGTCTGTTAAATCTATTTGGTTTATGGTATTTTTCCTTCCTCTGTTTCCTTATTGAACTTCAGTCTGGCTTTTCTATCTATTATTGGATATCAGTATGGAAGAATCTGTATCAGTTTGGTAGGGTTGCTGTAACAAACACTACAAACTGGGGGCATTCACGACAGTGGAAATTCATCTCCTAACAGTTTTGGAGGCCCGAAGTCTGAAGTCTAGGAATTGACAGAGCCTATAGAATTGACATGTTCTCTAAAGCTCTAGAGGAAGAAACTTTCTTGCTTCTTCTTTGTTTCTGTGTTTGTTGGCAAATCTTGACATTCACTGGCTTCTAGAGACATTTCTCCAGTCTCTACCTCCCTTGTCACATGGTATTCTCCTGTGTGTCCCTATGTTTCTATTTTCTCTTTTCATAAGGACACGTCATTATATTAGGGCCCATTCTGCTCTGGTATGACCTCATTTAAACTAATTACATCTGCAAAGTCCCAAATTCCAAGTGAGACCACATTCACAGATATCAGGGTTTAGATTTCAACATAACTTTGGGGGTGACCCAATCCCATAACAGGTCATATCTTAAAATTATAATGATGGATTTTTACATTTAATATTTCTGAAATCAAGATATAGTTAGCAAACAATGGTATTATAAGACTCCATGAACCACACTAACAAGTTTCATAATATGATAATTGCCATAAAGAAAAGAAAGATGGGCCGGGGATTTAGCTCAGTGGTTCTGCTCCCTGCCTCGCAAGCGCAAGGACCTGAGTTTGATCCCCGGTACCAAAAACAAAAAACAAACATAAAGAAAAGAAACATTGAGAGCAGCAGGGTTAGCATAGGGATATTAGGTTGAGTGCTCAGGGAAAATGTCCTTATGCAGATAACATTGAAGCAGAGATCTAATCAGCCAGCCATACAAAATCTGGAGCAAGAGTGTATCAATCAATGTGAATAGTAAGTGTGGAAATAAGTTCGGCATGCTAAAAGGATGCCAAGAAAAGAGGAAAACAAGATGAGAAAAGTACAAGGTCTAATAAGCACCTATTAAGTCTAAGGGTTAAGATACTAAAATTTCTGAAGGTACAGTATTGTTGAAACTGAAGTTACTCACCCCACCCTGAACATTTTAAATCTCCTGCATTTGAAAAAATGAAGCTATAAGCAAATTCTTTTTAGATTAAATGACACTACTAATCCTTTATTCTGATCCTTTAGATCTCAGTATATGAATAAGTTCTCGCTAGGTTCAGTATTTCAGAAGCGTTTCTAAATCTTTCATGAATTATATTAGATCCTTATTTTTTTTAAAAATTTCTTCTTGGCCTTCTGAATGTTAAAATATTTCCTTGCTATTGCTCCACTCCAAACTAATCTCTGACTAACTTCTCTTGAAGATTCAAGCAAAGTACTCAATTCCTGAGCAAAATCCTACTCCACAAGCAGATTTTTGTTCTCCTAATTTACCAAAAGGGTAAGTGTCACGTTACGTGTTTAAATGTTGGCTAATTGTGTCTGGAAGATGAGTGAAATGTTTACACTTTACTGTGATACTGGGAAGAGGCCTTTTTGAGGTATGGTGTCATTTCTACTTTTTTATTTATTTGTTTCAGCTCCATAAAAGAAGCAAAAATGATGAACCAACAGAGCAAACAAAAGTTGAAGGCGGAAAACGCAGAAACTTCTTCCTTTAACTTTAGGACTTCTAAAATAAGTGCAAAAGTTTTGCACCCTGCTAAATCAAGCCCATCTTTTGACTTTTTGGAGCTAAATTACAGTTGTAACAAAAATGTTGACATAACCAAGAAATGGCAGACAAAGACATTATCAACAGTTGGAGAACCTCTTCAGAAGCACAAAAGTTTGGACTTCAGTTCCATTCTGTTGGGGGCATGTCCTAATTCTCAATCTATAAATGCAGCAGGCACATGTTTTAATTCAAGGGGGCCAATAACACGAACCAAATCAACTCCCTTTGGATTGATACAGCAGAGACAAACCGAGGCGTTGGACATCAAGGAAAATTTTTCATGTTTGGAATCTCAACCACATGATTCTTATCTTGTGGAGTTCCAGGCTAAGAAAGTCATGCATGCTTCTTCAGAAGAACTGAATTATTCACTGCCTTCTGACTCTAACCACCAAACGTGTGATGACTTTGATGTAAAGCAGCATGGCTCCAGTGCTTTGAGTGTGTATTCTTGCATGTCTTTAGTAGAAGATCCTTATTTTTTATCATTGCTTCCAAGTAGTGCTGATTCTAAGATGTCTCTTGATTTACCTGAGAAGCAAGATGGAACTGTTTTTCCTCACTCTTCGTTGCCAGCATCCTCTACAACCCTCTTTTCTTATTACAACTCAAATGATTCTCTAGCATTAAATCCTCTGACCAGTTTTTCCTCACGACTGAACCAAGAGACAGCTGTAGTGGGTAAGTTATTTTTTTAAGTTTGTATGGCATTTTAGATTTCACTTTGTTTCAATAGAATATTTGATGTCTTCTTAACCTACCCCTACTCCTCTCTGCTTAATTGTCTTTCTTTTCCCTTCACCTCCTCAAAGAAATAAATTCCTGGAGTTTTTTCTTGTTGTTCTTTTTTTTGGTATTGGGGATCAAACTCGGGTCTTTGCACTTTTGAGACAGGCAGTGTAACCACTGAGCTAAATCCCTGGCTCACCTGGAGTATTTTAATGATGTGATATGTTGAAAACAGCATCAAACATGTAACAGTCCCTGAAACAGGCAGTAGTAGAGGCAGTTAGACCTGATAAAAGATCCACGCCAATGGGAGGGCTTCTAACAAGGCAAAACTCACTACTAGAAATATTTACCAGGGCTGGGGATTTAGCTCAGTGGTTCCGCCACCTGCCTCACAAGTACAAAGACCCGAGTTCAATCCCTGATACCAAAAAAAAAAAAAAGAAATCTTTACCAGAGACGCAGATAGCTTGGTTGCAAAAAATTTTACCTTACCCTTTAAGAAGCAACTTCCAAAGAAAAGCAGAAAAAAATCTGATCAACAGAACCACATCTTCACCCAAAATTTTTGTAGTATAATTGAGTGGCTATAATGAGTTGAACATCTTGTTAAAGATTAAATTCTTTTCCTTTGGGTGATGGAAGAGGAGAACTTAGTTTCCTGCCCCTTTTTTTTAGTAGAGGAGAATATCTGTTGGGTATTTTGTTTGGAACTTTATCTTATAATACACCTTTACTTTCATACTTGATATCTGTTATAATTCTGGATTTTTAAATGTTATGTGTATTGTTTTAACTACATTGTCTAAGACTAGAAATGAATAACTATTCAGAGATTATTATACTTATTTTTTGTTTGTTTTGTGGTGCTGGTGATTGAACCCAGGGCCTTGTGTTTTCTAAATAAGCACCCTACCACTGAGCTACATCCCCAGACCAGATCATAATAATTTATGTAAAAGAAGATGAGGGAAGGCAAAGAGCAAGTTCAACTCTCTTAGATTATTTATAAAGATCATTCTACATAGGTAGGAAGTGAATAAAGCTTTTTTTGTGTGTGGTACCGGGGATCAAACTTGGGACCTTGCGCTTGCGAGGCAGGCAGCAGAACCACTGAGCTAATTCCCCAGCCCATGAAGAAAGCTTCTGCTCAATAATATTACTGAATGTTTAGGTTGTGTGTGTGTGTGTGTGTGTGTGTGTGTGTGTGTGTTACTGGGGATTATACCCAAGGTGAGCTTTCTAGCCCTGAACTACATCCCCAACCCATGAATAAAACTTTTTTTTTTTTTTTTTTTGGTACTGGGGATCGAACTTGGGTCCTTGTGCTTATGCAGCGGGCAGCGAAACCACTGAGCTAAATCCCCGGCTAAAACTTCTTTAAAAATTTGTAAATCATTTGTAGCTTTGCTGAAAAAAATTTTCTCTGGATTTAGAAAGTTTCTTATTTGATTAAATTATTATTATTTTTTTTTGGTACCAGGGATCAAACTCAGGACCTTGTGCTTGTGAGGCAGGCGCAGTGCCACTGAGCTAAATCTCCAGCCTGATTAAATTATTTCATATACTTTGTTATAAACTTTGTTTTGCACTTTTAAATACTTCATTTATAGACTGGTTTTACAATTTAAGGATATTTTCTTTTTCTAGGTCACCATAATACCTTAGAGATCTCAAAATATTAGCATAATTTTTTTTTAATTCTTTTTTTTTTGTATTAAATTCTTTTATTGGTACACTGTAGGTATACAACACAATTACATTTCTCA